ATTACAGTATATTTCAAAAAGGTAAAAACTGAACTTAGGGATAATTTGGGGGTCTCTGCTAAAATATCTTACATTGTAGGGTTAGTGAAGCACATTGTTCGATACCGATTATAAATAGGGATTCAATGAGAATATGTTGGACTGTTATTTGTGTTCGGCAGTTGGAGCATATAGGTGGGGCTCCATTAGGGGAAGACAGGAGTTGGCCACGCATCAATCGCGTATGCCCAATTCTTAGACGATTCAGAATAGTTTCGTGATGTTGAGAGGATTGTTTTGATGATGACCAAGGATAAACTGATGATTTGATGATTTTAGCTTATGACTTGTTGGTTCATTTTCCCAGGACTTTTGCCAATCGTCAAATATTAATTGTTTATAGGTAGTTAGCCTCGCCAATAATCAAAATATATGGTTTTCCACTGCTTTACATATTTCTTTGACAATTTTCAGCTATGACATGTTCATCCCAAATTACATATAACTGTAATAGGTTACATTACGTAAGAGTTCGTTATATAAAAACGTTTTTCTTTATGCTCATTGAGTCGTTCTGAATTCCATTTCTGCTCAAAATACTACATTACCCAACCCAAACTCCCAGGTTGCAACTGGGGGTGTAACATAACCGAGTAAGGTAGCGTGCGGCAAATATGACCACCAAACGCATAGCACATCAAACACCATATTTTTATGGTGAAGTTAACTTAGGGGCTCATATAACAACTGTTATATAATTATAATAGGGTGTCCCACTAATTACAGCAGATAATTGTAGAGGTAAAAGAATATGTGATTCTGAGTATAAAACTTCTATACATACGTATATGGATTTTTCGGTTTACGTTTAGCCGTGAGGTGGATTTTACAAATTACGCAAGGCAACCATAACAATGGCGGAGTGGAGACGGGAGATACCGATAGCGATAGCGAAATATAGGAAAGGGGGAAGAAGGTTTAGTAGTGAAAGAATGTGGGTTAAATGGAACAGACTTTTAGGAGAGAAAGTGTGTGGCCTTCTGCCCACTGCATGGTATTGGGTGGTAGGTTGGGGTGACTGGGGCGATGGGAGGGAGGAAAGGATGTGGAGAAAAGAAGGCGAAAGGAAATGGAGGGCCCATCCCTATTTGGGTGGGGTGCACCTCATCTTTAATTTGTTTGGATTGCCCATTCATTATTTTTTCTGAGTGGGGTTACACTTTTTATTATAGATAGAGGGAAACGGATGGAGAGAGAGACGTGGTGGTTATGATTTTAGGTTGGGGTAGGGGGGTGGCCATGGGTGTTGCTTGTTCTTTTTCCGCATATCTTAATCCAGCTCAAGTTACGTGGGGTTGACCTTTGTTGTAAAGGTTTTAACTCTAAATACAAGGGGAAGGAGCCATGTCGTCAGTTCTGTGAGTGTTCATTACAGTAGTCCAAATCGTCGCCATGGGTAGAATAGGAGGAGGGGGGTAGGGGAATGCAGGGGAAGGTAATGTGATGGGATGGAATGTTTGATTGATGTTAGTCTTGGGGGAGGGATGAAGGGAAGAGGTGGGGGAGGGAGGAGTGGAGTGGGGGGATGGTGGAGGAGGAGTGTGGGGAGAGAATAAGTAGTCGATTAATGTTTATGTGTGGTAACCCACGATGCTCAAATTATGAGGTTTAATAGTTGGGTGGGTAGAGGCGATGGGGGGGGGGGAGGGAGACTAGGCATGGAGTTGGAACTCGTGAACGTATGATGTTGTTTAATGCAAGTTATGGAACATTACAGTATCTTCAAACGAGTTTTCACGCTATTAAGAGGCCTTATTTAATCCACCAATAAGGCTTACAACAGCACACAGTATGGGTGCAATTGGTAAGAAAAATAAAATATAACATGGCAAAATTTTTGCCCTGCGTAATTTTTACAACCCACCTCACGCCTAAAGTAAACCAAAAAATGCTTATGTGTATAGAAGATTTTCAACTCAATATCACATATTCTTTCACCTCTACAAATATCTGCTGTCACCCATGGGACACCCTGCAATAGTATAAGGACGACATGGGCTATGCTGACAAATTAATGTGACGTACCTTTTGGTGACGACGATGGTAGGAATGAGACCTCGGCATGTTTCAGTGTTCGACATCACCTCCTTCCCCTGGTGTGGGTGGCGCCAACCTTGGTAACAACTTGTGTATTCTCCGTGTCTACCATTACTGGTAAGTCACGGAGAATTAATTACTGGTGTGCCCATCAGTCGCACCGTCGTAGCCATGAACGGCAGATATGGTCGTTGTAGTGCTTTTATTTACCTGTTACACATCTCTCATCATGCTTAATAATATTAACTATCTTCATGACATTCTTATTGTTATCAGTGATTGTAGAATTCATAATGTTATGCTCCACCTACACACAGCCTGTTACTAGACTAACCCCCACCTCCTCTATCCCCCCCCCACACACACACACACTACAGTGGGCGACATCTGTTGGCCGGCCATAGCATTTCCCCCAGCTGTTTCGAAACTTCAGACTCAAGGCAATTCGAACCCTCACTGTGGCTGGGTAGTAGACATGACTTTGGTGCACGATAGTACATATATCCAGTTTTGAGTATCCGCAGCTTCCAAATTTCTAGCCCAGTACAGAGGAATGTTTGCTGGACCATGTCTATCATGTAGTTTACTTCGTTAAAGTTTACCAGGAGTAAATTATGTCTGATAATCTCAATTTGTTACTTTCATGAATTAAAAGATATCAGTAGGGTTCATAAAATAAAGGAACTCCTTTTCAATTTTAATAAAAAAAGAAAACATGAAGTATTAACAATCCAAAATATATACACTAATGTTTGATGATATTTGGTGATGCAGTACTAATGTTTGGTGATACGGTACTAATGTTTGGTGATGCAGTACTAATTGGTGATACGGTACTAATGTTTGGTGATACTGATATTTTGAGATGTGTGTGTGTGTGGTGATACTAAGTGATTGTTATCCGGTAACAAGAAGACTATTGTTTACAGTCCAGGAACAAGATATGGCAACAGGACAGCAAAATCAATACAGGGTACTAAATAATTTTACCACAGAAATTTCAAATGCACCATATATTCTGCACTAATGTTAGCAAACTCCCTATGTTCATTTCACCCACTGTCTTTACTATGGCAGTTGTTCCCTTTCTTCATCATAATCTCCTATAACAAATGACTGTTCTCTGGGATATTATTCTAAGAGTCATTCTTTTTTAACACCTGTCTGGTAAATTCAGATGGAAGCTAAACCTTTTTAAAGCTATTTTACTTCACACTAACAATACACAACTAATACACTTATTAAAACTTTCCACATACTTTGTTCATTATTTGCACTGCAGATCCACCAAAATTTATAACCAATATCTCATGATGAAGTGTTAAAGTCTTTCTATAACTGTAGTCTGTTCATTCGAAGCTTACAACTGAGGCCAAGGGTCAGTTTGTAGCAAGGCACCTAAAGAATTACTACAGTTCTTAAGTATTTAATATATCATTTATATTATGGGATTTTAAGGGGTTGTTAATCTTTCTATGTTAATCTTTGACAATTTCTCCACTTGGAGAGAAAAAAAATTAATTAACACATGAAATGGTTGGGTAACATAAATATCTTGGTGAGGAGAGTAATTTACATCCCAGAAAGTCATTCATCGTGTTCACGTTCTCTTTACTGGGTATATTTTTATTACCAATATATTTCACATGCTAATTTTTGCTTCCCCAAGTGCGGAAATTATGGGAGATCAACATAGAACGGTTATCATCCCTTAAAATATAATATAAATACGATATATTAAATACTACAGAATTGTAGTGATTCTTCAAGTGTCCGTCAGCCAACCAATCAGCTGCCTTGCTACAAATTGACCCTAGGCCTGTGCAAGCTTCGAGTGAACAGACTATAATCTACTCCAGTTCTCTTTGCTATAACCCACAGAATGCTGGCAATGTGTATCACAACCTACAAGTCTTTACTCTAACATACTGAGCAATGTCACTTGTCACAACTTTCAAGTTTAAATTTTCACTTAAAATGTCAGTCTTACAATCATAAGGGTCTGTACCCCAACATACAAGGTATAGTACTGTTATCTTATAAGACTCTACTCCAACATAGTGAGTAATGTCACTGTGTAAAAATTTAAAAGCTTTAGTCAATTCTAACAGAGTAATGTCAAAACCATTAGAGGTCTAGTCTTTACTGTAACTTACTTATTGAGTAACTATTATCACAACAATACAAAAAATGTCAACTGTTTAATATGTCAAAGACAACATTCCTCTCACTAAAAATGTGACTAGTCTATCAATCAAAATATAACAATAAATAAATATTTACAGGATGTACAGGTGCTCATTCATTGTACAGTACAGTATACAGTTTCTCAGTTAGATTATAATACAATATTGTTAACATACTTTAAATACTTTATTGAACATACAGTGGGGTATGCTATAACGAATCTAATTGGTTCTAGAACCTCGTTCGTTATAGCATTCGTTCGTTATAGGATTAATCCGTTCCAGGCCCCCAAATACAACCACTTAACACTGAAAAATTTTTGTGGAAATTGTTAAAAATACGGTACTTTATCTTACCTTAGTGTTGTTCGGCATACAGGACAGGAGGCAGAGGGGGAGGGGGAGGAGAGAATTATGGAGAAGAGGTGGAAGGAGAGGAGTCATCCTTCCTAGCCCTCTTTGGTGACTGTCTTACAGGCACTTTGTCTGTTTATTTATAATTTCTTTCTTAGTTTAAGGGTTATTAGCTTTCTCACTCGCTTTTGACGATTCAGTGTTATAATTGTACACTTGTATAACAAAATAGTTATAAAAATAACACGAATTTCCACATCAAAAGACGAAATTTCAACAAGTTCAGTGGTGCACTGACTACACAATGAACCAATATGGCGCCCGACGCTCTTGCTGTGAGCCGCGGTACAACAATATTCATGCGCCAGACGAAATAGTCCCGTATTCATCCGCGTTCGTTGTAGGAGTTGCGTTCGTTATAGCATTCTCAATTTTATAGGTAAAATCGTTCGTTATAGGAATATTCGTAGTAGAATCCATTCGTTATAGCATACCCCACTGTACTTTACATACCGGTATGTAATACTGTTCTACTGTACTGATTAAATTCCTTGATAAACATATACATATTGGCAACATCCGGTAAGAAGAAAATACACACATACCTTTACTTTACAGTATTTTGAAAATTACATTCTTCTTTACTTTATCATGATTTATTTCCTGCAAACTCTGAAGAAACTGAACAGTAGCTTGTATTGCTCCACTCACCTTTGGTTCCCATAGTAAAGGCATTATAAGAGATTCAACATATTTCTCAGAATATGATGCCCTTTTTAAAACACTTATAATTCTTTCAATAAAGTATTCTTTATCCCATGACAGTGGTTGTTGCTCCATCAACTGTTCAAGAAAAAGGGATTTCAAGGTCCTAAGGTTGGGAACACTTACACCTACAGGATATATTTGCCAGGAACGACCATAGCGGCGTTCTTCTTGCTTTGGCAGCCACCAGGAGGTGCTCAACAGCTTCACAAAGAAAAAGCAAGCTTGTAGGACAATGCGTTCTTCTTCCGTCACTCTAGCAATAATATATTTATGTGCAACATTAAATAAGAACACCCAGTTTCCTTCAGATGTGTTGGTTACGTGTTCATAAGTGTGAGACTGTAAGTAATTCTGGAATCGTTTTGGTAGCTTATGCAGTTGAAACCATTTTGGGAATGGGGCCTTCAAGACTGGATTGAGCATTAAACGCAATAGCAACATTCTCTGCTTCTCCCGGTAAGCAGCATAAATGCACACTCCAGTTGGAGTGTGTGCTAAGAAAGGTGATATCAGTGCAAGAGATTTAAAGCTAGTTGTTACAAGAGCCTCATGGGTTGCTTTGAAGAATGAGTTTCTAAAATTGGCTCCTATGAAGAGATCCTGATCCCTAGATGAAGAAATTTTTACAAAACATTCTCTTTCATTTCTTTCAATCTCCTCAATGGAGATACAGCCCCCTTTCAAGGAATGATACTCATCAACCTCAAGATAAAATTCAAAATTCTCTGGGAGGAATAATTCAATTTTTTCAGCTAATGGGTAACTCGATATAACTTTCCCAGCAAATCTTTCATCAACTTCTTTAATCTTATCAAATAACAATTGAATATCATGCTGCACACAACTTTCAAATTCATTGGACACAATATCCTCCATTTTCTTCTGTTCTTGAATTAAGGTATCCCACAGAGTAGTGAGATTTGTAATTCCAAGCTTATTACATCTATGAGACAGTATTAGTTTTGCCTTGGCATGATCCCCCTTTACATTTGATATCTTAGAAATATCTTGGGAAGACAAAAGATCCAAATGACACCTGTTAATACTATCATTGAATTGTTGTAACATTACCCGAGGCTTCATACCAACACTACATTCCATATCAGTTCCAGTGTACTCTTCCATGTACTCCATGCACTCCTTGTGGCCTCTTATTGCAGCTAAGTGCACTGCAGCAAGGCCACCTGATGTCAAGCAAGTGTGGTCAGCCCCTTGGGACAAAAGATACTCAATCATGTTAATCTTACCATAGGATGCAGCAATATGCAGCATAGTGCTCCCAGAGGCCTGGTGCACTATTCCATTAATATCCAAATGGCTGTGCACTCTTCTTATTCTATGCAATATTGTTACAAGGCTCAGTTCAGCAAGCAAATACAGAAATGCTCTAGTCTGTTTATCAGTCTGTCCTTCTTTTGTTCCTTTTGCATAATTTAACAAGTCTTCAGTGGCTGAATCTCCAATTTCTTTTTTCCTTAATTTTCTTTCAAATTTTTGCAACTCACTCTCCAACAAATCATTCATAAGTTGTTCGGATATCTTGTCAAAATTGTAATTTGAGCTACAGGGATTCATCTTTAAGTCACGACATAAAGAATATGCAGTTTCAAGATGGTTGTTATTGACAGCCTGAGCAAGTGGATGTAGGTGGTTTGGCAGAGGGTTAAGACATACCCCAGCCACACCCAGAAGCTGGCAGGTGAGAGTCAGCCCTAATCCAGCTGCTACTGCCAGCATATCAGTATAATTGAGTGAGCTGCTTGTTGGCCAGCGGTCCAGCCAAGTATTCAATTCCTCTCCCAGTCTGTGTCCTGATACCTCAGCAATGGTTTTCAGGTATGCCATTCCATCATTCATAATGTTTTGTATGTCGTCAGAACCTGGTATCATCTCCATCTCGGCTTGTAATCTATTACAAAATGCCTGGAAATGAAAAAAAAAAGCATTAATAGCACACAAACAAGATCTTATAAATCTTAAAAACAATTCTTCCTGTTACCATGCTTGCATTTGACCAGAATCATTATGTCTATGCTCATGAATGGATGTTACTTAACTGCACTATGATCTTATGCACAAGAAGTTACAAAATTTCATTGCCAAACCAAAAATTACTGGTACAGATAAATTAGTTTAGGCTTACCTTCCTAATAAGAGCAGGAAAGAGAGCAGGAAGACCAATTGTATTATGTGCAGCTTCAAAAGGTGTGTTTCCTAGAAGGCCATGAGCACAGAGGGGCGCTCCAGCACTCAACAGGAGAAACACTGCATCTCGGTGGCCCCCCTGGATAGCCTCAAGTAGGGGGTCTTTACGGGTCCCCAGGGGCAAAATTCGCACACCTTTCATCATGAGATCTTGCATTACTGTTACATTCCCCGTTCTTGAAGCTTCAACTAAATCCTTGAATCTTGCCAAAGACTCAGCAGAATTTATCATTCCAAGACTTCCCACAGCCTGGAAGTAAATGTTTATAAATATATAAAGGGGCCAGGAATGAGAATTGCGAACTGAAATCCCATTCTTTCTATTATGGGTGGAGAGAATGCCTCAAGATTTAAATACTTACTAATATCTTATAGCCTGCATTTTCATTTTGGATATAACTGCTGAGTACAGTACAGGCATTCCTCGTTTCATAAACTTTCAAGATATGAAAATTTATTACATCCGAAATTAACACCTCTTTTCCATTTAACGAAGTCTTTTCCTGCTTATATGAATTTGAGTTCCAGCAAAAATTAAAATTGCACATCCCCCAGGAGGCAGGTGGGGTGGCCAACTTGGAGATGGGCAGAGACTTATCTTTACTCAATGATCATAAGAAACCCCTCCCCTCCCTCCTGCATCTCCCTCCAGCCTGTGTCTTTTGTTCCACCATTCCCCACCCCTTGTGGTGAACCCCGACTGCCCTCCCTAAGGTAATCGTTCCAGCTGTTCAATTTGGTTGTTTGAATTCACAGCTGAGGGTGGTGGTGTGATTATTTAAGTGTTACACTTAACATCAGCTGGTGGCATTGTTGCTAAATTAGACTTGTTACTGTATTCGCATCCTCCAAGCCATCTTGCTACCAGGGTGAGCTGTGAGCCATGTTATGGTTATTATTCAACTTGTAATTTCAGGCAGATAAACTTAACTTTCTTCATATTTTTTATACTCGGTTACATGCACACACACTCCTCCATACTGAATGTGCAAAAAAAAAAAAAAAATAAATAAATAAATAAATAATAATAATAACTATCATAAGGTGAAAAACATGAAGGGAATAAACATTTCTTGGTGTGCGAGAGTTATCTCGCTGAGTGAGGGAACTGGAGGGGGGAGTGGAGGTAGTGTTCCAGCTGGGCTGAGTTGCTACAGTGAGCTTTGAGGCCACACGCTATGTTAAACTTTCATTTTGCCTTTCCTTAATACTTTTGTTGCATATTTTTATCTACTTTTATTTTATTAATGTTTTTAATGCATTAGGTAGTAAATAGCAGTAAATGGATACTATTTTTCATTAGTTAGGTAAGTTTTTTATTGTTGTTCGTGAACTGATTTATGTTTTGGTGGTATAATAATGGGGTTTTCTTGTCATTTGTTGTTATTTGAGATACAAAAATTAGCTTAACAAATGGTTTTCCCAAAATCTAACTCAATCATTAAGTAAGGGATACCTGTATGGTCAGAAAGATACTTCTCCAGCCATAACTACTCTGTCCACATGAGCTTTGAAACCAAGACCTAGAGCAGATTTTATCAATGTAGTTAACTGACTGGCAGAATGAGGTGTGTTAGGTTAATCTTGAGCTCTTCATTATTTGATTGATTTTCTTTATATTTTGCAACTGAAAGTAATATTGACAAACAAATGTTGATCTAGAATGATATCTAAAGCTGGGAAAGAGTAGCTACTTCTACAGGAATATCCTGCTTATCACAAGGGATGCGCTCCTAAAAGTCATTGCGAATAACGGATTTGCAAATACTGGAATGATTTTCCCCCTTAAGAATTAATGTGAATGGGGGGATGTGTTCCTACCGACAAATTTGACCACAAATTTTTCAATATACTATATACGCTACCCATTATCTGAGGCTATGAGGAATCAGGATCGTGTGTATATTGTAGTACAGTACTAATAGATGTGAGGAATAAAAAAAATTATACTAATAAATAATACAGTAGAATGTTGATTTAAAGCGATTCAATTTAAAATTATTGATTTAAATCGACACCCACAATTAAGGGACAATGTATTAATTTAAAGCGAATCTTTCCTATTTCACGCGAGCCAATCTGGAGCATCATATGGAAATACACACTGATTAAAATTTTGCGCCTAATATTTCCCACCAGATGCGTCTCTGGGCACACTACACGGCTGCCCGCCACCCTCCCACATCCTCAGTTCTTGCGCTGACGCTCTAGTGAACGGACATATTGTGTGACACTATCTCCTTCTACCACGTGCATCACCACTATGTCCAAGAGGCCAGCTACTACATCATTAACTACCCCAATTTGAACAGTGATGTGGATGACGAGTTAGTCGAGTTGGGCTCTGCATCTTCAGAGGATGAATTGCCTAACCAAAGTTGAGTGAGAATCCATTTTTGATAGCATAAAGTAATTAAAAAATAAGTTGAGAGGAAAGTGAAAGTGCTTGGTGAGTCGGACGAGAGGCGGGTGGTGCACGGCGCCAGCGTGACCGCCCTCTCACATCAGCTGATAGCTAGTAGACAGACCATTTTGCGTCCCGTAATTTTTCCTGAGTTGATTTATGAGTGTTTGTTTTAACATAATACTACAAAAAACAATGTTTTGTTTATTCTAGATGGGCTGAGGTGCATCTGGGTAGACTCTCAGTCTTTTAAGTATTTTGTGTTTCTCTCAAGTACCAAACTAAATTATTCCTTTGAAATAACACTTCGATTTAGTGCGAATTCCCTTTAAAGCGACCTCTCTTGGAATGTCTTTCGTGTTATATTGATGTTCTACTGTATAAAAGAATAAATACCACACTGCCAGTTGGCTATAGTTTCACTAAAGGTGGGACACAGGAGACTGGCGCAGCTGAAATCCCCAACACTGCACTCTAACTACAGAGCACCTGAGAAATGTTTATTCCCTCTGTTTTTTTATTTTTTGATAATCATTTCTTTTTTTTTTTTACACATTTTGTATGAACAACTGCACGTACATGTAACAGAGCAAACAAAATGAAAGAAAATTATGTACATCTACCCGAAATAACGAGTTGTAAAATAACAATAATGCAGCTCACAGCTTGGTAGCTGAGATCCTCGACACTGCATTCCTCTCCCGGTCCTTTCTTCCCCTCACACGATCGCACACTAACTACCACGGACATAAGAAATGTTTGTTCTCTTTATGTTTTTGACCTTATGAAAATCATTTCTTTTATTTGCATTTTTTGCACATTCGATATGAACGATTCTGTGTGCATGTAAGAGCAAAAAATAAATAAAATAATAAAATTACGTACAGTACTGTATATCTACCCAAAAAGACGAGTTGAAAAATAACAATAACACAGCTTGGCCTGGTAGGGGGATGTACCTACAGGGACAGTCTAACTTGGTGACATGCCAAGTCCACACAGACATTCACTTCACACACATACACACCCATGCTCTTTATATTTCTTGTTTATATACAGGCCTTAAGGGTCTTGGATTTGGGAGATCTTTCGATTTGGGAATACTTATATCCTGTATGCAGAACCTGTATAATGTGGTAGCTCACCCAGCAGTGATGGGCCTAAGTCTATGCACAAAAATCATTTATATTACATTTACAGTATATGGATACATATATTCTGCAGGTAGTTATATGAAATATAATTTAATAATTTTGGGTATAAAATATATGATGAGATGTACACTAAAGACCCAGAAAGGTAAGCAATCACTACCGTCTGTTTGGCATCGCCATGACGCCTGACTCTGAGGCACTAAACAGTCTGTGTCTTTCCTTTATTCATTACACATACATACTTACCCTAGTAAAAATTATGATATATGCCATATTCAGTGTATTATCTACCATAAATATAATGAAATAGACTTTCGGATTTCAGAGCATTTCGGACTTGAGAATTTTGGATAAGGGAAACCCAACCTGTAATAGCAATATACAGGTACACTCAATATAATGCAACAAAATAACTACAATACCATAAAAACAATAAAAGAGAACAGTATGTGTGTACACATTTGTAAATGAGTGTAAACATTTAAACTAGCATTTACCATAGCCATATGAAGAATTCTAGAAATTTTGCCGTGATTTTACACACTGCAGGCATGGGGTGAGTGTCACCCATGCACGCTCCATGTGAATGATCCCATTGAACTTCATTAATTTCTAAACCACGCAGGTCATCACACAGAAAAAACATGCTCGTGTGAAGTTGGCCTTACAGTGGAATATGAGAGCTGTGGCTAGCCCACGTGGTTTGAAATATTAATGTGGGGCATCGTAATTTTTATTTGGAAATAAGCAAGGTTTCCTTTGTGAATAATGAATAGTGGTGTTAAAATATCAATTGCAGTTAAGTGGGGTTGTGAACAGCGAGGTACAGGTAGTCCTGTAATGCAATTGACCCAGAGCCATTACAGTATTGAATTATAATGGGCTCAGTGTATATGTTTATGCACAACAGCAAAGTTTCCGCCTTCTTTCCTCAGTGAGATCCTTCTTTATGGTAATCTGGTACTGAAGAGAATTCCTTATAACTTTATGAAAAGTACAGTACTATAATGCTTTACATGTTTATGAGACAGACTGTAAACATATGGTGCCAAGAACAGCCAATGTAAAACTTAAAACTAACCTTGGCAAGGTGGTTGGCTAGGTGTGCGTTATCACTGTCACGTGCCAGCTGATGAGAATATTTGTTCTGGTGGTTGGACAGTCGTGGGTCACAGCCCAGTGACAAAACTAAGCTAGCCAAATTCACCCAAGCCTCTTTTACACTCAAGGCCTTCCCATCCCAACACGTGTTGCGTTCACTTACACTGGCTTTCTCCGCCAGGGCATGCAGTGCTGTGTAGCCTGTAATAGATATTCTTAACCTTAGTCCTAATGGTAAAATTGGATCATATTTATTGTTTGGTTAAATCTGACCAATGTTAACCAGTAACTGCAGCCCTGTAGATAAATTTGGATCATGATAAATACAAAAGTATAATAAAGTTTGACCAATTAACCACCCTGTAAAACTGTTAGGTTAGATTATGTCAGCATTAGGGTGGTTAATCATGAAGTGAAATAAGCTCGGGTGGAAGTTCTTTATGTGATCCAACTGTTAATCTTGGTTCTGTAGATAAAACTGAATCATTGTGATATATAATTTGTTGACCTTTCCTCACCTTACTATTTGCCCCTTGTTGGCTTACTAACTGGTTACACTGTCGGTCAGTTCTATTACACACAGTTGGCATATAGAGTAAACCTCTGTTGTATGCAATTTGATATGACATTAAGCATCAATTCAATAATTAAATGCAGGCATTTTTCCATTTTACATGTGCCTCTACTTCTTTTCCTGACCAAATGGCTAGTAAGCTGATAAATGGTGAAATGACAAATAAAATTTACAAATTAATTAACTTAGGAAGAGATCACTATAATTCAAGAACTCATAACAGAGAATAATTACCACTAACCTTTAAAATCAACAGCATTAACATACACGCCATGATTCTCCACAAGACTCCTGATGTCAGGTGCAAGCCAAAGAGGTCCTCCATCAGCTAACATAACAGATGAAGCATAATGCAAAAGAGAGCGGCCATGTTGATCTTGAATTGTACCTGGGAGACTGTAGGCACGAAGTAATACATCAACACCACCTGAGTACCGGTACTGTCCACCACTTGCTGCTTCAAACACTGCATCTACTTTTTTTGAGTGGTCCTGGGGAATAAAGATATTGCAATATCATAATTTATATAAAGAAAATGTTCCATTAAAAAGAAAGTTCCCTAACACTAACCCCATTTTTAATTTGATCAAAAAAATATGCATACTGTATATGCTTTCAACATAGTCTCACAACAGCTGTTCCATGAAGTGATGTCCTCCCACCAATGATAAGTAACAACACCGACACCGACTGATAATAGTTGAGCTACACGAATCACGGCCATGGAACAAGGCTTGGTTCTGTAGTGCACTGGATGGCTGTGTGGTAGCATGTGGGTAGACCGCAGCTGACAAATGCACACAGAGGCGTCTGCATTGGCCGGCCAATGACCACCATTCATGTGGATTGTTTACATCGTAAATTGGGGGGGGTGGTAGTTAAGGCTGAATATCGTAGATAGGAAGATTGTAAATTGGGGATACATACCTGTATATATACATTACTGTACAAATACAGTACTGTACTGTAATTGAATTGAAATTGCTTTTCTTCATAAAAATCAAATCAAATATATTATCAACCTGACTATATCTCAAATATTGTCCACATTACACTACCTGTAAAACACCCAGTATCATATCATTGTGTGGAACATCAGGTTGAAGGTGCATAAAGGCCTCCACTGTCTGTAGGACATTACTGTGACCTCTGCGATGAGCTTCTTCATATGGTGAAGTATCCCAGCCATCTAATGTCACTTGAGGACTGGGCCCAAGGGTAGCCAGCACCTGCTCCACCTCCTCCTGCTCTCCTGATGCCACTGCATTCCACAGTCTCAGTGGTGCCTGCATAAAATGTGTGAGTTAAGAGCATTTGGGGCTTATCTATCTTCAAAATCATATTGCACAATTTCTCTGGAGAAACAGTACACTGAAATGAATATGGCACATTAAAGTTGACATAATTTTGATTGGGATGCTTGTATCATTTCATGTTAATATTAAATAAAAAACTAATAGCTCTGAGTGCTTCCATCAGGTAATCACATCTAACCCACACAAGTGTGAATAATGGACATAAAACATTGATGATAATGATAAAGGATTATGAAAATTCCAAAAGAAAGTACAGTCTTGTACTCCCAAAATACTGCAACTCTTACTATATTAAGTAAAACAATATACAGAAACATATTCTCCCAACAAGATATTCAAACTGGTATTCGAATTATGTAATTAAATCAAACTGACTACAGTACATGTATGGTAAAGGTACAGTATGACCTTTTATTTTAATCATGGTTACTTATGAAAGGATTTAATTTTTGTCATTAATACCAAGTGTTGCACATCTTCTATTGTGAAGAGAAATAAAGTTGAGAACAACAAACAAAAACCTATCTTACTGCAGATCTGGGGTCATCAGTATTGATCAGAGAGACAGACCTCATCAACATGGGTCGTCTCTCTGGCTGCAGCTGGATCTCCACATCTTCCTGCATAGATTCTGATATGAGGTGCATTCCTCCGAGGTATTTCTATGAAAAAAGAAAAGGAAAGAAATTGCACTGTTCTCAGGAATTCATAATTAATAAGTACTGTACCAATTTCTTATGCAATATGATACAGTTGTGTATACATTTTATTCCTCATATTGATACATAGCAACTTTCTTATAGAAACTGCAATCAATGAATTTCTTTGTATTTTTTTAATAATGCCAAATGGCTCTCATAATACAGCACTGTATAAGGACACTTTTTAGGCGATTCTATGTCAAGAAACAACCTCCATAATATCAACCAGGACTGATTTATTGATCTACTGAAATGTATCAATCAATATTCCCTCCCCATTTTACCATCCCGTGAAGAGAGGGGATGGTAAAACATACCACCCCTCCCACGCTGGGGTCTAGGAAGTCTTCTGAGTTTGTCTAATGAGCACCATTCATATCACTGTAGTTGTTAGATATATTCATGGATGAAGTAGTAAGAAAGGTGACAGAGAAAGGTACAAATTTGATGATAATGATTTAACTTGCAGATGATACTGCTCTAGTGAACAGTTTGAAGGAAAAGTTGTAAATGCTAGGGAAATGAGTATAAGTTTATACGTAATGTGCTAAAAAAGATGAAAAGGGAAGCTGGGAAATATAAATGGTAGCTTAGCTGGTGACAAAAAGGAGGAAAGGAGTAGGTGAGGTGCTTCAAATACCTGAGAGAAGATATAGTACGAGGAAATAGAAGACAAAATTATGTAACCTTGAATCTGATCAATGCAATTCTATTATTTAAAGTACCGCTTCCAACTTTTTGAATTTAATAGTCTATTTTCACAATAAACATGATTTTGCTTAGGCATTCTTTAATACTTTAGGTTTTGGTAATCTTTGGTTTAATCTAATGATGCAGTACAGTATTTAAATAAAGCAATGAATAAATTTCACCAATGACATTTTCTCACTCATTAAAACCAGGATTTCTTACTACATACAGTTATTGCTGATTTAGTTATGTTTATATACTTAAGGGCATTTTTTTCAGTACAGTACTGTAAGCATGATTTTCCTAGAATAGTTTTGATACTGTACCAAAAAACTTGGAAGTAATTAGTGTGAAAAAAAAATTATGAGTTAAAGGTAAAGACTTGGAGACAGCAATAGCCAGGTCCACTGACAGGCCCAATCAGCTACTCTGCAGACTCAACCTACATTTATCTACGGTAGCTAATGCAACTTATTCAGCTTTTATGTGTTTCATTACCACATTTGTTATAGTTGTCAGTTCAATATACAGTACAAGGGTTTTGGCTTAGACTCATTGCCTGATACTGTAGCAACACATAACAGAGGTATGTGAAAATGTACAGTTTTCTCACATTCCTAGTTTCCTCACAAACACATTTTACATAATGAACTTATACTTACACACACACACAGCTTTTCACAATCCTATATTACTGACAAAGTTTATTGAATATCTTTATCCTTGCATTCAAAATAAAGTACCCAGATTATACGACTTCATACTCACGTACAGTGGGATCCACAACCTGTATGATCCACAACCTGTATATCATATTTTGAAATCCTTGTTAACCCGAGTCATGGGAAAGAGACAATGCAGTAAATGTGCTCAGAACACTGCACATCATCACACTGATGATTACTTACAAGATAACACAATAAGAAAATTTCCTCAGCATCTCCCCAATATGAATACTGTACTGAATTTTTTTTATTATCTATACTTATTACTCACAATTCATACTGAAATTCCATGAAAATTATACTAAAAAAAATGTTTTTCATTTTACAACAAAACTACAATTTGTTGGAATGCATATTGGTGGCTGAAGCTGACTGACCTCAATCTTTGGCCTGTGATAGTGTGAGACAACACACATGATGATGACAAAGACAAGGAGGATGGCCAGCAACACTGCTATAAACACCCACCAACCACTCCAGCCAAGGTCTTTGGGATGCTCTGCAAATGCAAATTAGAACATCAAAATATATCCACAATATCAAAAAGATAATTTTTTGTACATATCCAGTATATATCCTAGTTAACCATGTGGTTATCACAACTAGTGATGAAGGAAGGAAGCTGTTGGCCAGTTCTTAATAATATTGTCCACAGCTACTGTAATTCACACCCAGCACTGTTCTTTCTCTCACTGTTTATGCTGGTAGACTGCGCCACAGGTCTACCACTTTCTGCCTGATGATGTACTTCTATATACTGTAGGTATTCAATCTACAAGAGTCAGTGAACTTTAAACTATGATCACTTGTGTTTATAGTGCAGTCTGGGTATACATTTTTCATCCTTTTAATGTTTTTAATGTCTCTAAGATGTCTACCTTCTATTGTTTTATTAGATGGACACAACATTGGACAGCCAGTGGTCCTGCCATATTCGTTGTTTATTTTGCGTTTTCCTTTCTACACTTAACTTTTGGTCTATCTCAGCGTGCCTACCCCTAAACATGCAACAGTGCAATGTCTGGAGTCGAGAAAACAAAAAAAACATTAAAATGCGTGTTAAATTAGATTTCCATGTTGGAAAGTTGCTGGTGAAAAGCAGTTGGCACAGTGCTCCATGGGACTCACTCCAATACTTGTGAGGGCCATTCATGGCAATGCTGGGATTAGGACTAGTGCCACATGTGTTATACAGCCCAACCACCAATCATGAACAACAAATTGTTTATTTCCACTTTTAAATGTGTATATGTATTGGAATATTTTTGTCTACTGGAAAAAAAAACTCCCTAGAACATAATTCCCCCTAATTACAATATTTGAATTCTTAAGAGAAAACTTTATTCACTTAAAAGTCAAGTTTTCCAGGATGTTAAGCAGGGAAGGCGTACGTACGGTCACTCAAAAACTATGACACAAAAGAGGAAGGATTTTGGTAACCCTACTGAGACAACAGGAGTCACAGTGTTCATTCTGAAATTCATCGACCCCACTAAGTAGAGATAGTTTTTTAGTAATTGTACATAAAGAAACCTAACAAAACAATATAAGAAAAAATATCAACTTCAACTTTCAAATATCACCTAACATTGCAGTGCAATCCCTGGCACCTATCTCCAAAGCATCATACCCACTGGGATGATACAAAGTGATACATACAGTACTGTAGTTTTTATTAATAGTCAGGTAAAACAGTGGAGAGCAAAGAAGGTGTGACTGTTCTGAGGAATCATCAGCAGGAGACTAAAACATTATAGAGCAATGGCCTTAAAATCAAAGATGGCAGCCCAATGTGGTAGCACTGATTAGGTAGCCGAGTTCTAGTTAGGCCTCCTATATCTACAGGGCAACCATTGCTTAATATTCTCCTCGTTTTGATGGTGATGGTTGAGGCAGGGACTGATGCACAATTTTAAGAACAACCCCCAGCTGTCAAAGGGTGCACAGCATGATTCCAAGCCCCCCTCCCACCCCAAAGTGGCTAGCAAAGTAACAAGAGGTGCATGGGGGCAGGCATCAAATTATATAAAAATGCATAACAAGTATACAGTGAACCCTCGCTTTACGCGGTCAATTGAACCCATGGAGGCCCGCGTAAAGCAAGAAACGCGTAAAGTGAACAACATAACATATGGGATTTATTGAAATAGAGACCGGGCTGACCCCCAAACTCCACTTTTTTCCGACGCAATACCTAAGTTCTAGTAAATATAACACCTTAATTTTATGATGGTACGCACACACAATTAATATTTAAGAGAAATAGAGAAATACAGTCCCAAGTTAATGTCCATTCAAATAATGGACTCAGCTCCCTCCCCCCTTCTCACACTCGCTGGCTCCTCCCTCTCTGAGAAATGTTTGGGGGAAAACACTAGATTTTAAGGTATAGTAATAAATAATACCTCAAACTAAAGTTAGGATAATATAATTGACATTGCTGGATTCCTTGCAAGACCAGGAATATTTTGAATATACATGTCATATATTTTGCACAAAAGATAACATATTTGCTCTGAGTAAACAAAATACTTGCATTAGATCTAAAATTTGTATGTCTAATGCAAAATCTATGATGTATATATTCAAAATGATCATCAAATTGTAAGAATTCCAGCAATGTAAATTACAGTATATTCTGACCGGGTAATTTGTATGAATTTTATGAGCTAAATAAAAAATTATACTTCACCCTCGTATATGAGTAGATGCATCGCGTAAAGTGGGAATTCCAGTTTTGGCAGGGTACCGCATAAAGGTAGAAACGCGTAAAGCGGGGTATTACTGTACAATACAGTATTTGAATAAGAGTAATATGAGTGTTTTAAAAGTCTTTTGTATGTAATTGCAAACAAAAAAGAAGTCTCAGCTACAACTTAAGACCTAATGTGAATGACTAAACCATTAACTTTTACCTGTGCTGGTGGAAGCAGGAGATGCATTGGTTACAGGAGAGGGAGGCAAAGCATCAACAATTGGCTTGCTGTGACTGGGCGGCAGTGTAGATATTTTCTGCAGGATGTAGAATGGATGCTGGTCCGGATTGTCTATCACCATGAATGTTGGTCTTGACACAAGTGATAATGATGCCAGCACCTTTGAGCCCTCCTGGTAAAGTGCAATCATGATGAAGAATATTTATTCTGTAAGAATACAGATTATACAATTATACCCCTGTACATATCGTATGTGTAAGTCCTTGCTTAACGTTGCTCCCCACAACGTTGTTTTGTTATAACGTCGCTACTCTTTAGATACCCATGATTCGGACAACGTCCCGCCGATTCGGTATAACGTCGCCACAGACTATTTTGTACGGCACATCACCTTCTCTCACCCAGTCAGAGCAGGAGGAGGAGCCACCCTCCAGGTCTCAGTGACTCCCCACCCTCCTCCTCTCCACTACCCACCACACACTCGCTCCACCTCCGCCCATCAGTGAGTACAGTACAAAATGATTTAGTTTATTTATCTTTTTGGATGTATAATATATAATATTTTCTATAAAAATTACATTGAATTTCTGTATATGTAATGTATTTTATGGGACAAAGGGAGGCTGGGGTTCGTAACTCCCGTATTTTATCTATTTCTTATGGGGAAAATTGATTCTGTTAACGTCGCGGTTTTCAGGAATGGAACCACAACGTTAAGCGAGGACTTGCTGTATTTATACAGTACTATATATAATACAGTATTCATATTGGTCATTTCATGTAAAAAAAATTTTAAACAATGTAAAATATATATAAAAACACTTAAATAGATAAAAACCTTTATCTTGCAAGATACACCATTTGTGATATAATCCAAGCAGTCCACAACCAGTGGGTGCTCAGTAAAGGGTGGTAAAGGGTTGGTGGTGTTGGTACTGATGCTGTTATTGTCCCAGCCTAGAGTGAGAGTCCTTCCACCCAGTATGATGGTTGGCAGGATGTGGTGGTTGGAGTACACAGCCAAACAATGCCAACCTGACATGTTGGACAAGGGCATCACTTCTCCTTTGCCCTCTACACGCCATGACATTTTCCCTGTAATTTACATATATTTTTGCAATACCTGTACAGTATGCTGTAAACATTGAAATTACATAAAATTTTTGTGCTATGAAAAATATCACCACTGTCCACGAATGTTTTAATAACCAGAAGAAGTGACAGAATTAATGTACTGCACTAAAGGAAAAACACAATACAGTATATACCACCTATGAGTTTCAAGAATTATTAAGAAGATTAAATGATAGTTTCATTAGCATTGTAATATATTTGAATTCAATCACTGCATTCACAACACATTTTATATTCTTATTTCATTTTCAATCCATCTAAATATTAACAATAAAATTACAACATATTCTGTATCCAAGAGTTTTCTTACAATTTAATTAAACAGGTGTTCTGTAGGCCTACCAGTATGACAGTTGATGGTGATGTTGCTGCCATAGATAACAACTTCCTCAGCAGGGTGGAGTACAGGGTAGGTGATAAGCAGCCCAGATGATAAAGCTGCATTGGTCAGTGTCACATTTTTACGGATTGATAACGTAATGTTGAGCCACCCCGAGACATCACTCAATGGTTTCGTCAAATCAAAGTTTTGGTAACTTTCATGTATTTTTACACTAATAAAGTTTGTGTAAACCTGTATTATGTCTTGCCTTGTAGCTGTAGAATTCTCCAGGAAACTGATCTCAAACTGAAGACTGGGCATGTTATGGGTGATATTTGGGGTAACCCATGCCCCCACCACCACTTGTGACCATGCCCACTTTACCTTCCTGCTACTCGACACCACACAATCTGTAAAAATTGCAAGTACCCTGTACAATATTTCATCACAGTCAAGAAAGAAACTCAACTTAACCTTAATAACAGGGAAACCCTAATAAAAAGATGCATTGTATTTTTCATCCACCTAATAATATAAAAGATATCTGTAGGATTAAAATTTGTCAAATAGCATGTTAGTTTCCATACATGTGTTACATTATATAGCCAATTATAAAACTGTACAAGTGATGGTAGATGTGCAAAAGAAATTTAAACAAGAATAGTTCAAAGAGAAAAAGGTTGATGAAATGCTATATGTATTAGTACTATGGTAGAGGTCAGAAGCATGGTTGTACTGTATAAGGCTACATGCAATATGGCGTCCCACAAGACTGTCTGAGAAAACTGAAAATACCATCACTAGTGTGCTTCAGATTATATGAGATTATTATTAAAACCTTCAAAATGATGATAGAATATTGTAAAAGTGATGGAAGTCACATCCGCATCCAGGGAGCATCCGCCAAATTTTCTCATCCACATTTAGAAGATGCGGATGTTGCAGATTTGTAGAGCTTGGAATTTTTATAACACTTACTGTATACTGTATAACATGAATATTTATATAACACCATTATATAAATACTCATATTTTATCACACACACATCTACAGCAACAGACTGACCTATCGGGAGTTCAGGCATTTTTCTGATGAGCCAGAGAGCCAGTTGGGCTTAGATAACCTTAGTAAACAAAGAGGGTGCAACTTTATACTGTACAGCAAAATATTTTACCATTCTAACAGCACAATATTTGGCTTGAAATAATAAATCTACGCATTTTTTTAAAGGCTCGGGAGTACTGTACTGTATTGAGACAGTATTCAAGTACAGTACAATATTGTATAGGAGAAATGATAAAATCTATAGAAATAAAAGCTTATTATCTTATTTCCTCAAAGAAAAAACAATAAAAAAAAGTGTCTCCGTACAGTATATATGAAATAATAGCAGTCATACTTAGTTGGAAATTGTCAACAATATCAATTATCATTCTAGAAAAGTTCTAGAAGCATTGAAATTGCATTTAAAGTACAAAAATGTTAAATAAAATATGAATTAAATCCCCCAATTAAGTAGGGACATACAATAAATTAACTGCATCACAGCACTGTACTGTACTGTATATATGAAATTTTTCAACAAAACTGAAGGAACATTTAAAGCATAATCCTTTTTAGAAAATAAAGATTATCATTTTATATTCCCCATTAACGGGAAAAGGCAGTCGACTATAAGTTTGAGCTCTTTTATCATGTATTCTGGTGTTCTCTTGTGTTTCAGTAGAGTTGCCTTCTCTCTTGAAAACAAAGTTTTACAACCACCATTCAGGCTTCAGGTTCAAATTTGGCGACACAGATCAAGCTGGTTTGTTTACGCCTATCAACCCTCTCAAGTTGTCGTATTGCTGTTACTTTTTACCAGATGCTATTTGAGCTTGATGATTCCATTTGTCTGACACAAAACAATCAATTATTATAATCTTAATGAAATTATGGAAATGCTTGATGCGTTGACAAGGGTACTTATACTTTGGAAAATTAGGTTTCATTTTGTATATCACATGTAAGGATAATTTAGGTTAGGATTTTTAGTAAATTTACAGTATCACACAGGTCTTTATTTCCATATTAAAAATTGGTTTTTCCTAGGTATTTTGATGAGTTTCGAACGAATTTGATATTCATTTCCACAGGAAATCACGTGTTTTTTAGATTCGCCCCCCGACAATCATAACGGAAAAAGTTGGATTTCTTTTTAGAATAAATAACAAATTATATTACCAACCAAGAAAACCTAACCTAACCTAACCTAACCCCTTGTTCATGCACCAGCCGCTTAAAGAGCGAAGATGGAGGCCTGGAGCGATGCGTGAGCAGGGGGTCAGACCACCTCCGCCATAAGTAAACAAATCTTGAAAAATTAATATCTCGGTTATCCTTAATTTCCGGTGGAAATATCATAGAAGAAAAATGTCTTAGAATTGTGTAAACATTACGAGATACATATTTTTAATACGGAAATAAAGACCGGTGTGATACTATAAATTCACCGGATGTTAAGTAACAAAACATAGTTCCCCCTTTTTGGGAGCGACTGTGTAATCCCCCTCCACAAGATAAAGCCTAACCACGCCTTTGGTTTACCCTTTCTTTGCTATGTACAAACAATGTATAAAATTCAACAAATATACTCTTGTTTAGGTATACGCTAAGCCATTAACATAAAGCTAAAAAAATAATAGCGTTTTATTGCTCTTTATTATCTTCGTCATGCTCGTTGGCTGGTATATATTGACGTATTTACCAATCTAATCAGATTGTTTATCCTCCCATTGTTTAATCCCCTTCATTCTCCGTCTAACTAGTTACCATGAAATGATTTTAATTTACAACAATATAACAAAATTCCTGACCTTGGTAAGTGAGTGCAGTGGCCGTTCCCAGCAGCAGCAGGAGTGTCGCTAAGTTGTAGTTCATCCCTCGGCTTCAAGCGCCCCGCCGTCTACACCTGCAGGATCTCTTGCACCACTTGGCTTGGGGTGAACATTGCAAACGTCTATTGTCATCTGCAGGATCAGACATGTCCCATATCCTCCCTGAACCCACATTTGACCTTATATAATTATTTTTACGTTTTATATTTTCAATGTCACTAATTAAATATCTAAAGACGGTATCAAGATGCTTGTCAATATGTTCACCACCAAAAATAGCCAGATGGAACTATTTCTGGAAATGTCAATGATATAATGATTTAAATATAGTAAAAAGAAAATATACACGAAACCTGCTAAGAAATATCATCACACCACAATAAATACTATGACTTGTCACAATAAAGTAAAGTAAATTTCCTGTTTTCAGTCATTTAAATCATAAAAGCCTATAATATCCTTTGCTTTATCACCTGGACAAATCCAGTCGATTACTTCACCGAACATGTGTTGTACTTCACTGTTTCAACAGCTAAGGCCTCAGAACAAATACTAATCCAGTTCATATATTAAACTGATACTGAAAAAACTTAAGAGAAATGTTTTTCTCTCCAGAACAACAGCACTTCTAGTGGAGAATCTCTTCAGCAGCCTTCAACTAGAAACTTGAAGGGACCTATGGAATCTTTATCAGGCTACCACGACACCGTCCTTATCTCGTCTGATAACATATGTAATGAATGTTATCAGTGGATTTTATCAGTAATGAACTCTCAAAGGAAATATTGGGCAGCTCTATACCCACCTCCAGACCTACGAGTGAATTCATACACTATGTAAGAAAACTGAGTAATTTATTATACTTCCTTCAGAGTTGATATTTAATCGAGGATTTTGGTCGATATATTTGTTACCGATGTGTATTCTAGATGAAGAAGTCAATCTATTGTAAATTATTAAACGAGATTAATTGAATGCAGGATTAAATGAAATACCATGTTTTACAAAAAAAATAAAAATGCACACATGAAAATGTTAGACATCGTTGGCTGTCCAGATGACCTCTAATATATGGTGTAGCACGATTTACTTATTCTAGCTTGCATAATATCTTATTAATGTGCATACGATTAAGTTTATCAACACTATGACAATTTTTTTTTAAATAGTCATTTACCTCCCCAATAAAGCACTAGTAACTATTATTGTAACCGATCACAACAGTATGCAGAGGTCGGTGATGAGTTGTAATGCTAAGTATAATACCCCAAGTAAATATATCCTGGGCATTGGCATGTAATGTGAAATCCTGGTGAAAGTAATAATATATTCCATGGTAAATATTGTAAAATATTCCGTAGTGACCATGCACGGAACTTTACTGATTCTTTTAGGTCGATGGATCCTTCTCGGCTAAGGTTTCAGTTTCACTGCCAACTGGTTTGATATTATTATCGTTTCAGTCATCCAGCGAAATTTAGGGAGCAGTTAGATTAGGTTACATTAAGCTAGATTTGATTAGTTTCAAGATCTAAATAGAGGGATGACGGAAAGTATAGTTTTACCCACACATCTAGCTAGGTTTTTCCCATGGTAAGTGGTGCAGATTCACTTGAATTTGACGTTCATTTCCGCTGGAATGAGTCGTTTTTGAATTATCACCCCGCCCCCCCCTCCAACAATGTGGGGATAAAATACTAAAGCGAACACTTAACAAACTGTATGAGAGACGTGACCGATCGCCCAAGCGGCTAACGAGCCGATCAGTGGCTAAGTGATCAATTTATTGTCTTGCATCGGTCTTTCTTTCGCTGTTATTAATAAGTGCATTTCGTAATGTTTAGACAATTCTAAGACATTTCATTTTATGATATTTCCACCGGAAATTAAGGATAACTGAGATATTAATTTTTCAATAGTATTACTTTCGCTCAGTCACAAGATTCGCCATGTCTTGTTCACTTTTGGCGGAGTAGTTACTATTGCACCGGTCTTTATTCTGACATTAAAAATAGGTTTCTCCTATGATATTTGATGAGTTTCGAACGAATTTTATATTCATTTTTGCCAGAAATCACTAGTTTTTCAGATTACCTCCTTCCTTCCCCACCCAACAATCATAACGGAAAAAGTTTTTTCGAATAAATCACAAATAAAATACCAACCAACCAACACTAACCTAACCTGACCTAACCGAACCAGGGGGGCTCCCCTTTTGTTCATGCACCCACAACTTACCTTACTCTGAAAAAGAATCAGGTTCATCTGAGTCGTCAATGCACAGGTGTTGTAGACGCTTATGAAGTGAAGACGGAGGTAAGGAGCGACGTGTGAGCGGGTGTCAGAGTTCAGACTCCTCCAAGAGTAAAGGCGAAACTTGTGACTGAGCGAAAGTAATAATATTGAAAAATTAATATCTCAGTTATCCATAATTTCCGGTGGAAATATCATAGAAGAAAATGTCTTAGAATGGTCTAAACATTCCTAAATACATGTAAATAACAGCGAAAGAAAGACCGATGCAAGACTATAAATTCACCAAAGTAAAAGTTACCTAGCCTGTAATAATATTAAAACTATAAAACTTACCTTATTCGTATTTTTGGTGTTTAGTATGTGATGGTGTAGTTTTCGGTGTTCAGATGAGGAGGCGACCTATACTCTAAAGCAATTTTTAACCTTGTTATAGGTTAGGTAAGGTTTTCAACAGTTTGTTTGGTGTTCTTTTTAGTATTTTACCCAACATTTTCCCAATACTTCAAAGCCCTGCCCACTTATTCATCAATCTTCCCAAGTAAAGATATGGCTGCTTGACTTCTCTTCTGTTTAGAATGAAATAAGTGCAGGTCTCATTGGCCCTGAGGTTACTGGTACTGTCTAAGGTCAACGTAGATGCTTTGGTGAGGTAGTTCAAGGGACCTGTCTTACCAAATGTGAGTAACCAATTCAACAGGACACAAGTGTTGTACTGCACATTGTCTCATGGGCATTTCCTTGTAGGCTGTGGGACCAACTTGGGGTATCTAAAAGATATCCATACAAACTTAATCATGGGTCTAATCCAGCAAACATTCACCTACCTGGCGCAAAAAAAAAAAAAAAAAACTCAGACGGTTGTACAAGGCCAATGATATGAAACAAAACCAACAAGTAAAATAACAAAATAACTATATAGGAAGTTTGCTCGATTCGAGAATTTAGCCGTTGACAAAACAACACTGTTAAACTTACAATTAATTAAATTACAATATACAGTTCTTAACCTAACCGAAACAGGAACACATAACAAGTGAAGACAGTTCTCATAATACAAATAACAATGTACTCATGATAACTCATCACTATGGAGAAGGTGAGACCCACAGCCGGCTACCATTCTGTTTAATCTGACTGGCTGTTCTCCGGAGTAGGGTGGTTAACCCAAACAGCAAACCTCAAATGAAGGAGTCGAAGCATTAAGATAGTCCAATGTGGCGACTCCTGTCAGTCCTCGCCACCCTTTTACTTAACCAATTTATGGCGACTGTCATAACAAGGGTAACAATATTGATATCTGGGAATAAATGTTACGATGACCGTCTGTGGAAGTTGAGGATCCTATCAAATGGTGCTGTAGGTTATGTAGTTTTATGATCTAGACCTCCACCATTACCAAAGAGATACTGTATAATTTAATGAGGTTGCTTATAACTGTGACCACGTAATGCCAGAGGTTATGGGTTTACCTTCTTCTAGACACGTTAAACACAAAGAAGGAAAATTCTCAGTTTTTCTGGAAACATGGAGCAGCTTACATAAGCAGGTGGTCACATGTATGTGAATTATCCAAAGATTTCATCCTCCAATTTAATTTACTCTTTACTGAATCACCCTATATAATCTTCATGTACAGGTATAATGATTAACATGGTAAAATGAGTAATCCCTAAACCGGTATTATGGCTTATTTAACCTTTAACTTAACTAAGCAGGTTGGAAAAAGTCTTTTAAAAATATTTGTTTTATTTTTCTTATACAAAAATAACGAACGACAAATCTTTTTGTCGTCACATGTACAAGTAGTAAACTAGTCATGAAATACAAAAGCAACGAAAGATAAATGTTTGATAAAGTTAAAAGCAATGATTACCGTATAGAATAATAACTAGATCAATTTGTACACAAGCGACTTTCAGCAGATGAGAGGTCATAAAATCCCGTAGAAACGAGTTGTGTATAACTGTAAGTTCAAGAGACAGCCATTTAAATATCATTCAAGACATTCATAATATTGTTTTTGCTAAATGTCTAACATCATCCATGGGGACAAAGAACAACATTTACTAAACATTGAAGGAACCGCAATATAGTATATGGAGGGTACTAGTATAGTCAATGGTAACACACACAGGATGGCCCTTTAACGTCAAGGACTGGAGAGAATCTTCGGAAACATGTTTAATATTGACAAGTGACGATATCTAATGAGCAGACTTACACAATTCCCAACAGGGATCGAGTTATATGGCATATTCTTATTGTTGAAAATTTCATATCAGTAACGGATGCAAGGGCGATGAGAAAGCGTCTCGTCTTTCTGGAGGAGGTAAAAATTTGGTACTACCAAAATGGGATACAAAGGTGTCCTCCATGCAGTGTGCCTTCACGGGAAGTGCTCCCATTCTCTTTAAATTCAAAAGTAAATCACTTTCTGTTACTGCTAACATGGAGTGAATATGTTATGAATGAAAACAACGAGAACATATACAAGTCTCAAACCTCAGATGACTCCAAAATTGTAAATGGACTCTTTATCTTCGAGGACAATCACCTAACTGTTTTCGGTACACTGCACCACTTTATATATCTTGTATCCGTCCCTGCATACATACAGTGCAGTTAACTCTTAGCTGAAGGTTGGTGAGTACGAGATAAATGTATGGGGAAAAAAAGGAAAATTGGTGTCGACGATGTGGGCACTTACTTCTACTGGAGATTTGAATTCCTTCAGTATTGAGACTCGCGACTCAACATTCTGTCACTGCTTTAAACTCTGTACTGACCTCACAACAAAGCCCACAAGTAAATAGTTTTCAACACAGCAAACCCTAAATATTATAAACTTAGGAAGAAAGTATACTAAGCTTACAACAAACTCCTTACGTGTTGTGAGCTTACAAAATAACAAACCCACTTATGATTACTTTCTAAACTGAAAAATACAGTTTGTAGAAGGACGAGGTCAGAAGTGGTAGAGTGGGGGAGGTGATGGGTAGATATCTGTCTCGTGCGGTGCTGGGATCTTGAGGCTGAGTCGCGGTCGATGGTCGTCCCCCCTCAAGATCTCCACACTGTCACCGTCATGTTGTTCCTGCACGTCGTGGGCGAGGTTGGTACGAGACCTCTGGTTCAGGAAGTAGGTCCTGGGCGGCGCTGGAAGCACGTTTTGCCGTAGGTGGGTGGGAGTCTCATGTCGTGGATATAGGTGGGCGGGGGCATGTTTCTGTGTGCGTGAGTGGTGGGTTGGGCGGGATGTATAGGGTAGCAAGACAGGCACCACGTGGGACCTACCCAAGGTATGGAGGTAGGCAACAGAATCACTATCAGGGCTGTAGAGGGTAGTGTGGGAGGCGGGCTGGTCCTCACTGTTATATTGGTACACAGGGGTCGACGAGAGTACAGGTGCTGGCGTGGGATTCTGGAAGGTGGTATGTGGGGGTGTAATGGTGTGGGCGTTCGTAGCCTTAGTGGTGGTGGGGGTGCGTGGAGAGGTAGGGCTGTGTTGAGAATTAGGAGTGTGGGAGGAGATGGGGACGTGGGAGGAGGATGGCGCGTGGTAGTTATTGTTGTTATTGTGGGAGAAGGAAGGTTTGATCTTGGACGTCGCTGTGCTCCTGAATCCATTGTCTGTCATGTGGGCGTTAGTCACGGGCGGGTAGGGAGTGGTGGTGAGTGGGGCTGACGTGGTAGTAGGTTGCTGCACTATTTCATGTGTCGGGGTGTAGGTGGGGAGGGTAGTGGTGTGGGGAGGAGGGGCCAAGGTTGAGGCTCGCCCACGCTCTACAACCAGCCTGAATGGGTTGGGGGAGACGGTGGCTACGTGCTCATGGAAATGTAGCTTCTGGTCGGCTGGGGAAGCGTGGGGTCGCTCACGGCTGGAGTGGTGGGTGGTTGGGTGTGGGAGAAGGCGGGGCCGTGTAGGGGGATGGTCAGGGACTTGAGGCACGTTTGGATTTTGGGTGGAGAAGTAGCCAGTGTCGCGGGGGCCTGGGTGAGTGGGGTGGTGGGGTGAGGGGCGCGGCACTGGACCCACAACACTCGGCCCTGATTTCCTGACCGGTGGTGTGGGCGCGGGGGGCTCAGGAGGCGTGGGCGTGTTCTCCTCGCCCTCGTAGTTGACCTCTGCCCTGAAGCCCTTGTCGTCGGCCACGTAGGTCACCACCTGCACTCGACCGTCAGGCAGCGCCACCTGAGGAGTCATAGTGAGAAATATGTGAGTTCATAATGACCCCCACTGTGATCTTGTGGATTTTGATAATCTCCTACATATAGAAGTGGTGCTTTAAACGCACACGCATGCATGGTACTATACAACGATTTACATGAAATAAGATCATCCGAATCAATTTGCTGTTATCTGATGAGCACAAAATCATAGAAAGCTAATAGTGAGCCACAGTCTGCCCCCCCCCCCTTACTTAAAATTTAAATACTTTATTGACCATAAAACTATTACATCAACAGGACAGGGTAGTATACTACTCCCACCCTCACCTTCCCCCTTTACTAATAATGTGCACGCGCAAAACAATGTCAACGCCCAGTCTGGCTGAAAGCTCCCTTCATTCCTCGCTTTGTTAGTGCCGAGATAACAATTATTATAATCAGTCTCATAATACTTATATAATTTGTATTCATCTGTGTAATAATTTTTGTGGTTCTAACCTAACCTAACCTACACCTAACTTGACTAAAAAAAGTGGTCTCTGCTCTAAGGACTGCCCATTAGGATTAGTGATTCGTTAGAGGAGTGCACCGAGCTCCCAGGTGATCCCCTCGTTTTCACGCTTGTGCATTATTAGCAAGAGGAGCTCTCAGACTGCCAAACCAGCAACATAAATGTACAACAACACTTGAAGCGAAAATTCCTGGCTTGTGATTAGCGTTTAATAATACGGCTTGGCATTGGTAGAGACCTCTGGAAAATTTGTCGCTCCCCAGCTCCTGCTCACACGAGGAAGGGGAAGAGGGTCCATTACGTGTAAATAAAATCCCTCACCAATGACTGACTGGCACTTGTGACGACCCCAGCCGTGGTGACCAATAAGTGGGGAAGACCTGGGAAGGAAAGCCGAAGCTCTTAACCTTTGTTCATCTTAACTGGTCTAAGTGTTCTGTGGCAGACGACTAGCACTTGCCAATAATCAACTTAACAAAGGAGGAAAGGTTGTGGGGGTGGATACAATTCACTAGTCTAGTATATCCCTGGACTTAATCGTGGCAAACTTGTGAGGGTCTCGGGAAATCTTCTTAACCCTTTAGAGAGCAATACAGTCTTCAGGTAATTCATTCTGGCGATTTTATTTCACTGAGAGCAACCCCTGTCATCTAAAGGGTTAAAGGAGCCTCTTTTTCCAATTTGATAGACCCGATAAAACACATTGTAGGATCCTCCGTGCCTATAGGACTCACCTTATAAGACCCGCTGACGGTGCGACCATCCCTGGCTTCGTAGCGAGCATGGTAGTTGCCGGTATCCTTAGATTCCACGTTGTAGCCGTACTTATACTGGTCAAAAATCTGCCGGTGACGGGGATATATATTAATTATTGTGGCTACCTTAGTGTATACAAAAAAAGATACAAACACAAAACTAAAACAACTCCGTTAGATGACACCTGCCTGAACAGAACTAAGAAATGTTAGAGAGAGAATATTTGCGGTTAGATTTCACACACACACACACACACACACCGTTTGGGTAACTTACGGCGGACCTTGTCTTAATGAGCATTGTCTAGTTGTTAATGGCAGAATATCATGCACAATGCTGTATACACATTAACCTTACGTCTTCAGCCAACAACAAAACAACATTCTTGCCTTAATGACATCAACATAAAGAAGTTCTCTCAATTGATTTTAAGGAGAATGAACAAGTTTCTATAATTCTCGTGACAATAATCAAGTTATAATAGTGATGTGTTGTCGTTGTTCTATTGTTATTACTTATTTATGATATTTAATATATTATAGAGTATAGAGTTCTAGACGAAGGGCTCCGAACTGTGTGTTAAATTTTTATCCACCTGGGGGATAATAATTGAGACAAAGTTGGGTGGGCTTATGACACCTGGTGGTTCATGTTCGTAATTATTTTCGATATCACTTTGACGGAGAAAAGAAGCTAGTTAACCCCCCTCTCCAGTGTTCTTGGGGAGTTTAACCATTACCCGGTGTTAATGCAAGAGAAAACAGTATGTATGTTTAGTAGAGTCACTGGATAAAAAACCCCGGATGCAGTGATGAGACAAGTTTGTATCATCAACACAATAACACTTACTGAAAAGACTTCCCACAGAAACACTCTGGCCGGACGGTAAAAGTAAAGCCAATAGAGGAAATAGACTTTATATCCATGACTTAACAGAAAGACAAAGTGATCTCTCCCGGTGTGTGTGTGTGTGTGTGTGTGTGTGTGTGTGTGTGTGTGTGTGTGTGAGGTCCAGGGAGCTTTGTTTAGGTTTTACACTGAAGAAGATAACATAAGATGGGTATAAAAGTAGTGGAAGTTTTATAAGTTTATTTTTGCGGTTTGTTTCTGTAGCCTCTAATGTTAACACGGGACCAGGAGCCTTGTTTCTGTGTAGGTGCAGAGTGGCTGATAAAAAAAAAGTTTTATGCCAAAATAATTATTTGGAAAAAGTTGCCAGCAGAAGTTAAAGTTCAGGGTAAATTGTGGTATAAAAACTTCCTTAAAACATTCCAGTCACCTCTATCATAATGCCGGAGAGAGAGAGAGAAAGAGAGAGAGAGAGAGGTGACAAGGGTTTGAATGAGCTATGAGGAATGAAGTTTACGAATGTTTCTTTTGTCACCAGATTGATCAACAATTCAGTTTTCACCATTGCTTGTATCTGTCCAAGAAGATGGAATGTCATAATACATTGTGGATGCTTAAGACCAATAACGATAATTCCAGCAAAGTAAGAGTTGTTTAAATGATCTCAATTTCAGGGTTTAAGAGAAGATACATAAGATAAAGGTAAGTTTTTGTAGGATTAAAATAAGTTAAAACAGATCGCATAGTTTGGGAGATTCATGACTAGGCTGGCCGGGGTAGATGATACCAGAACGGATTAAGATGAATTGAATGTATAGTTAAAATTTAAGTATAGATTAAGGTCATTACCAGGGAGGAAATTTGTGTTTTAGTAAGGAATAAAAAAAATAATTAACACCTGTAATGAAACTGGATCGTGTTTGTGGGTGACCCGGATATAACACAACTTTTACAATAGGGTTAGAGGTGGTTGGAAGTTTTGGCTGAGTAACCGAGGTTGATTGCTAGCTTCAGTGACGTTTCATACATTATAATTATCTATCATCATCAGACTGAATTGGTGAAAAGTGACCCGATAAAAAGAAGTTCACTCGACAGCTAGTATTTAAGTGGATAAAGTAAAAAAAAAACCGTTCTGCGTGTGTTAGTGACCTCAGGAAACCTCGGCAGAAAGCAGATTTACGGAGTAGATAGAGTCCAACGATGATTTACCCTAAAATGGCATTCTAATGAAGAGGATAAATGACACTCCGTCTTCCCCAACTCTGGAAGGTACGTGGAAAAACTGACTCGTTCTAACAGCACTCTGAGGTTTTAATTCTAGCGTTGCGAGTCGACTTGTATTTGTTCAATGTTTTATTAGTAAACGTGGAGAAAACATTACTCAAATGAATAACAGTTGGGTATTCGTTATTTTATTAAGTAATCTTTCTCTACGCATCAGAATTCAAATGTGGAGTGTAGTCAGTACCAGCCTGATAGAACATTATTGTTATATCTGTGTACGCTATAAAGAGCTACTGTAATCATGTGTTACGATAGTCAATACTTGATAAAGCACATTAAGGAATGCCTTTGATCTTCATAGGTACAAACTCTCTCCCCACTTTCTGCTACAGTACCTTTTACTCTCTCACTTCTTAGGCAAAGGCGAAAGGGAAACGGCTACTTCTGTGTATAGCATCCCACTAAAAGGTCATAAAATAAAGTATTGGAAACTTCTGGAGACTTTAACAGCTGACGGCACAACACACGCTACACCACCTGTCTACCTTCTCTATAACAGTACAACTCAACTATTGATACATGAATAAATTAACACACAGAGAAATGGTAAAACAACTTATGAACTAAAGACTGATGTATGTGTGTGGGGGGGGACGCAAATGAAAATCAGGTAAGTGTCACTGTTAAATCTATGCCCCGAAGGTGTACCGTATCCTTGCTATTCAATGTAAACATCTTCTGGTTTAAATTACAATCAACAAGTCTTTCAAAAGCATTCTATATTATCTAAAGTATTAGACTAAAAAAAACAATCACTTCACCAGACAGACCTCAACACACACACTTCCCGCCACGACCACCGACCGTCACACAAGTCGAGTTTAACACACAAACGTTACCACACCGTCTGCTGTCCATGTTTACTAATTAGTCCAATAATAGAAATTAAAATGAATGTAGAATGTGTTCATGAAGCTGAGTGCGTGACTCCTCCCCGTCACCAGGCCGTAAATATATCCAAGTGAAGACTAGTGGTACAGTACTTGGTGGTATTGATTATTACTGGACTATCAGCGTACATTAAACTGTACTGTCTTAAAATTAAACCTTCTCCTCTGGTACTTGTAAGGAATGAAAAACTGTCGCAATATTATACTCATGAACAAATGATCTATTAACAAATAAAATACATACTGTATCTTATATTAACTTGAAATTTTGGTTGTATATGGATGTGTAATGTGTGTATATTGTTGAATAGAATAACGCCAGTCACATATTTAAAGCTGCTTTCGACGTGTAGTACATCTTAAGAGTACCGCTCGGTCACCTTTGTCTAATATGTAAACAAAGATGACCAAATCCTAACCTTGAAGTGTTCCCATAATTTCCCACTTTCTACAAATTACTGTTACTTCACACACACACTATCCATACGTTACAATGCATCTCCCTTCTAACACACTTAATGACCTTGAGTAATTACCACAATTAGGTATGATAATAACCTTGAATCATTACCACAATTAGGCATGATAATGAACTTGCGTAATCAACATCGGTGGGTAATATTTAGGTTTAATGTGTTGTTCTATAATTTTGGTTCACTGTGAGCTACGTTTCAGTCTTCTTGGTAAATATATTTGACCTAGACACCATAATTAACCCGACAAATGTTTTAAAATCTAACACAATATAAACCTTCTGGCTAAATTAGTAGTAAATCTAGGTCAAGGAGACTTAGCTTAGTTACATAAGTTGTGCAAAAAAAAAAATATATATGACTCTTCATCCGGACATTTTTGGCAGCATTTCCCTACACGTCACCACCGGCCACTGTACCGGACACCACCACTAATTCCCCGGCAATTAGCTTAACCTACAACTCAGCAGTTCATCTGTGGTCACCCTCGAGACTCATAAACAAACCACAATTTGGTGAAACATGACAATATATTGTTGAGATGTTTTCGTTAAATACCGACAAAAATAAATCTTGTGTGAAAGGAACAGTAAAAAATAATTCCAAGGAAAAAAGTTGGATGACGTTACATGGTGGGAAGAAATATTGGAACGTGTCTTTACTTTAATAAGACAATTACAAGATAACGATTAAAAAAAATGGTACTGAAAGAAGCCCAAGAAAAAAGAGTGAGAGAAATAATTAAATATAATTGTCAATAGATAAATAAACATTAGTCAATACTGTTTACGTGATTCTCGGGGAATTAAAAATGCGTCAGTTAAAATTTTCTATAAGATATCAAATTATTTTATAATGAATCAAGTAAATACAGGATATCTAACTTTGCGGTAACTATAAAAAATAAATATAAATAAAAATGCACGATCTTGAAAACTACACAAACAGCAGACAGAGACAAAGAACATATACACAAACAAAATACAAACGAAAAACAAGAAAAAGCGATTAACCTCTTGTAATATCGTGATTGTTTGCTGTAAGGCGCCAATAAATGCGAATTATATCACCGAGCAGTCGAGGGACACACATCATAGACAAGAGTCAAAGATACTGGAGATGAAGGGGAAGGAGGCCGATGTTTCGTTTAATATTCCCATCATTAATCTTCTCATATCATAAAGTTACCCACGGCCTGGCTGGTATATGACAATGAACTAATGTACGGAAATTTAACTTTGACTTCCCTAAATACAGCTTGACACTGAAGTTCAAGTTCATAGTACAGTATATGGATTATAGTGTATAACATTCAATTTATACAATATCTCGGCCTGGGCAAGTTGAACAAGTCTTCCGTGAGTTTTCAAAGCTTCATACACCTCTAAGCCCCCTGAGTCGAGATGTGGGAACATACAGTATCTCACTTATGCTTTCATAATGATACCGGCTAAAATGAAGTCCATAATGCACCGAGATATTACCGTAACTTGGCATATTTACTTATCCACGGCAGCCAGGAAATGATTAGCATATACCTGTACAGTAAGCTACTAAACCCGGGACCAAGGGAGTGTGAGCGAGGCGCCCTCCCGTGTGTGGGAGACCATAACAAGGCAGCAACATGATCCACTTTCACCCGCTTCCCGCACCACCGCCCACCACTCTCACCCACCCACCTTACCAACGCATAAACAAAACTCTCGCTTTCTTCTTTTTTCGCATGAAAAAATATTCATATTGTGGTATTGGTGATAATTGTTTTGTAGTGGGTTGATGCTCATTTGTTTTGTGATGTTCTCACGTGTATATATATATATATATATATATATATATATATATATATATATATATATATATATATATATATATATATATATATGTGTGTGTGTGTGTGTGTGTGTGTGTGAGTTTTACAGAGAATAAAATCGCATGTCTCTGATATTGCAGACGTTATTGCAGGTCTGTAAATATAAACATGCATGTTTACAAGCAAATATCCACACAGAGTAACTTGCCAGTATATGTAACAGCACCAAGAGTGAGATTCTGTAAGTCCAGACTTAACCATCACTGGAATATATTCAGGCATATTTAAAACTCCATACATGCCCAGTACAGGTACTTGTCAAGAGTGCGTAACAGAGAATTGACCGAAAGCCCGACCGGCTACTAAGTTGATAAGTGGCGAAGATAAAGTAAACCGTACAGGGTATACCAGCGGCGGCGTAAGACTCCAGAGCTTGACGCAATTCTCTACCAACACACAGCGACGCCTCACCATCGCCGTCACTAATACTATGTTTATGTGTTGCTCAATCACCTTAACTACTGTGACGTATTTTTTAAGAGTAGTCGAACTCACCCTAGCTACAGTTGATTGTTAATTTCCCAAAAGGGTTATAAATTAACACGCCATTAAACTGTGGGCCATGAAACACCTCCATATTCCTTGATCAATAATAAAACAATACTTCCAAACTCACTCGCGTCTTTTATTTATTTTAGTGTTTCTATGAGAGGCATTAATGGATAGAGATAGTCTACTAATACACACTTATTTGTACTTGATAAATGATCAAGTCGGTGTACAGTCGCTGTCTCCATTGTGCATCACCACCGTATAGGTCCATTATCCCTTAAGCTAAATATTTCGCAAGTCATTTATATTTCACGTAGCTACAAGAGTCCCGGACAAACATTTCCTCTAGCGATTAGTGGCAGTCCTTTTTTTTTCTGTCATTGTTACCGAACTTACAAATGTTCACAAGTATAATTTTCCCTTTCTGTCTTTGTTCCTTAAGAGAACTACGCCATTACAGGTTAAATTAATTCTTCCATTGTTACAAGATTCGACAAGAAGAGCTGATTTAACGCATATTGTTCATTGTTCGAGGGTGCCCAAGTGTTCACTACGGTTGGCTGAGTCACTAAGGTGTCCGCCATATAATGCATCAAACACTAACTACTTCATGTGTTTACAAGTTCATCTAAACAGCTACACTACCATCTACCTTTTAGCTTCATGACTGAAACAATATCCCACTTAATAGCTACGAAGATTTTGCGTTTAAAATATAATTCAATTTTAAATAATCAACTTGACACCAAAAGCTACACTGCGTTAGGACGGTGCTATAGTATATTAAACAGAAACATTATCTGTTCAAAGGACTCGCTACTGTATCGCCATCAACCGTACAATTATCAATTTCTTTTCATCTCAAAATACTACTCTTCTTCCTCTCGTATTTTCTTCGCTGTATCACCTAACACTAAAATATCATCTTTACACACTTATTTATACACACACACACACACCACTTCTAATTGTGTATAAGTAATAACTATGAACATCACTTGTTATCTGCCGGGAGCGTGAGTGACCGCTTGTTTGTGTACCGTGCAAGATGACCTTAGATCAGGTAAAGCCTCATCCACCTGGTCTGAGTTTTACCAGCTAATGTCTGTCACTACTTACACACAACAATATCAAGAGTAAGAATATGTCTGAATAAAACTCCCACGGTACTGGCAACATATGTATTATTGAAGCCAAAAAAATTAATACTGAAACGCCACAGATAAGATGTGAGAATACTTGATATTGTCTATAATAATCTAAATAATAATTACATTGAATTCATGACAGACACACGACCGCATTTATAGGCAGGTGTAGTAAATGACCTGAGAACTGGCATTAATTAAGACTAGGTCACTGAAACACAACACCTGGCATTAATTAAGACTAGGTCACTGAAACACAACACCTGACATTAAGTAAGACTAGGTCACTGAAACACAACACCTGGCATTAATTAAGACTAGGTCACTGAAACACAACACCTGGCATTAATTAAGACTAGGTCACTGAAACACAACACCTGGCATTAATTAAGACTAGGTCACTGAAACACAAACACCTGGCATTAATTAAGACTAGGTCACTGAAACACAACACCTGGCATTAATTAAGACTAGGTCACTGAAACACAACACCTGGCATTAATTAAGACTAGGTCACTGAAACACAACACCTGGCATTAATTAAGACTAGGTCACTGAAACACAACACCTGGCATTAATTAAGACTAGGTCACTGAAACACAACACCTGGCATTAATTAAGACTAGGTCACTGAAACACAACACCTGGCATTAATTAAGACTAGGTCACTGAAACACAACACCTGGCATTAATTAAGACTAGGTCACTGAAACACAACACCTGGCATTAATTAAGACTAGGTCACTGAAACACAAATGACACCTCCATGTTATCTAATTCAACTAATATACAACAATATAGCATCAATCTAACAGTGATACGAGTCAAGGTGTTGGATCTCAGAATGATAACAGGTAACAATAGTATTCAGCATCAGTATATACTTGTCACGTAGCGAGGGAGGAAATAGTAGGAGTCGTGATGTGTGAGGGTGACACTTGATGTATGTAGCCTTCACCCACAGTGTGTTAATATACCCGACACCTCCAACAGGGTGTGGCACTGAGGAGGGGGCGGGAGGTAAGGAGAGGAGAATGTGGCACTGAGGAACGTAGATGGAAGAGGGTATTTGAGGGGAGGAATGGGGAAGAGAGGGGTCATAGGCGAAGGGAGGGGGTGAGAGAAGGAGGGGGAATGTGGGGAAGGGAAGGATGATGACGAGATGGGGAGGAACACATGGAACGGGACGGGATGGGGTGGGCGTGAGGAAGGAGGAAAGGAAGGAGGGAGGTGATGACCCTCAGGTAGCGAGGTATAATTAAATCTACCTGTGTGAGTGAGATGGATGTGTCGTCTTCTGTTGCTTCTTACCACTCTCTCCCTCTCATCCTCCCTCTCTTTTACCTCACACCCTTACTCTCTCTCTCTCCCTCCCTCTCTTGCCTCACTCTCTCCCTCCTTCTTCCTTATCTCACACTATCACCCTTATTCTCTCTCTCTCTCTCTCTCTCTCTCTCTCTCTCTCTCTTCTACGTCCCCTTTTCTTCTCTTTCAGTTTCCTCTCCCTCTTTCTCTTCCCTTCTCTTTATTTCCCTCTTTAAATACCCTGTCTCTCTCTCATTTTCTCTTTATTAGCTTTCTTTACCTTCCCCGACTCCCAGATGAGGCATAGATGGTCTTGTTAGCTCGCGTGTGGTGCAGTGTATAGATCCACAGTCAGGTGTTGAAAGTGGTATTGATATATAATCATCCTTTGTCGTTATTTATGACCTCAAACCTAAAAAAATCCAACCACAATAACAGGTAACTTGAGCCATGACGAGTTACCTCCCTTCCACCCCACCCATTCTATCCCTGACCCCTTCCTACCCACCCACTCCCCTCCCACCCCACCCACTCTATCCCTGACCCCTTCCTACCCACCCACTCCCCTTCCATCCCACCCACTCCACCCCTGACCCCTTCCTACCCACCCATTCCCCTCCCCACCCCACCCACTCCCCTCCTGAGCTGTCGGGATGTGAAAAGATATATATATTTTTAGGGGGAGTTGAAGTGATGTTGATCTAGGAGTCTATTATAAAAATCTACACCACAAAAACAAAAAAATGATATTGTTTTGTGACCCTAAAAAACGTAGAAAGTGTTGTTAAAATGCTGAGGAATTTAGAATGGCTCTTTTTGAAGTACGTAAGTTAGTGAATGTTCTATTATTAGTGAGTTAAAGAAACAAACTAGAGAGAATATATATAGATCAAGGTTGTGGAAGATTGAATTTGGAAACGTAATAAAAGCGAAAACATTGACAATATAATCACAGAGATAAAACAAAGAAAATGTCCTTATTAATTTATGAACTAATGGTATATATTAGATGCAATAATCATACATAAAACATTACAGAAAGGAAATGATACGTTTTGGAAATGAATAAAAAATCGGTAATTGCATGTCGTAGCTGAGTTAGGAAATGATTGAACACTTTTATGGATAACTACTTATTTATTATCTTTTATTTACGTTAACTATTTTCTGGGATATTCAAGGTTGTTATGGACTATGCTGTGGGGAGAGAAGAGAGTAGAAACATTGCCTGTAACACCTAAGAGCAGGGAAGGGCACACCAGGGAGTTTTATAGATGACGAAACTCTACATCAAAACCTCAACAAAACAAGACTCACTTACCCCAGGCTTGTCCTCATAGTCATCATCTAGATACTCCTGGCTGTCCTCATCATACGCTGGTTCTGGAGCATAGACTGGTTCCTCATCATACGCTGGTTCTGGAGCATAGACTGGTTCCTCATCATACGCTGGTTCTGGAGCATAGACTGGTTCCTCATCATACGCTGGTTCTGGAGCATAGACTGGTTTCTCATCATACGCTGGTTCTGGAGCATAGACTGGTTCCTCATCATACGCTGGTTCTGGAGCATAGACTGGACCTGAAGCGTAGACTGACTTGGGAGCATATCTAAAATCAGAGGCATAGACCGGCTCCTGGTCATATACTTGATCTGTGGTACGAACAGGGTCATGATCATAAGCTGGTTCTGTGGTGTAGACAGGTAACGAGGTGTACACTGGGTCTCGTGGATCATACACTGGGTATCGTGGATCATACACCGGCGCTTGTGGATCATACACTTGCTCAAATGAATCATAGTCTTCATCCTGGGGAGCATAAATCACTTCAATGCTGCTGTGAGGTGTTGTGGTCAGTGGATCTAGAACCACTTTCTTGGGCACCGGTGTGTACTTGGCCTCGGTCACCTGCTCAAACGCGGAAGGTTCGGTCTCGAAGTAATATGGCTCGGATTCATATTGTTCGCTGACGGGCGATTCTGAAGCCTTGGGTTCGTAGAGGTTTGGTCGGGGATTATAACTGGGTGAATCATCTTCATACACTGGCGATTCAGGTTCATAGCCAAGTTTATCATGGTTATAGGATGGTGGTTCGGGTTCGGGTTCATAATCATGTTCGTAACGCGATGGTTTAGGTTTATAGACAGGTGAGTCAGGTTCATACGAGGGTGGTTCGCGTTCATAGGTTGGGATTCGAGAGGTGGTATAAGGCGTGACGGTGGTGGACTTTGCCTTCAATGTAGACTTCTTCCGAGTGAGGACTGGTCGGTAGCGGAGTCTTTTGTCTCGCTGAGGGGCCTCCGTGGGTGCGGGCGTTGTCGTGGGCGATGGCACGGGTATGGGTGTCAGTCTCCGTGGCAATGGTCGATTTAAGACTCTGGCTACGCCTCTCCTTCGTGCCGTCAAGCCTCTGGTGCTCAGCGGAGTAGATTCGAGCTCTACAGACTCGTCCTCGGTACTTTTTGATTCTTCGTCCTTAATGTTCGTCTTCATGCCCCAGCCTCCTCGAATTTTCTTGTAGCGTTCTCTGAGCTTCGAGGCAGCAGTGAAGGACGGGAATGATGATCTGGAGGTGGTGCTAGTGGAAGATGATATACTGGAGGTGGACATAGAGGTACTGGTGGAGGTGGAGGTGAAGACGGTGGGCTCGGAGGAGGTGGTGGGGAAGGAATACGTAGGTGCGGGTTTCTCAGTGGTGACTAACTGTGGCGTCTCCTCCACCTGAGGGATGGAGGGAGGCGTAAATAGCACTGACTGCAAAAATGACAAAGAGTGAATAATTTACCCGCACTTAGTTCAGTTAAGATCTATACATTTAGTGGAAAGAATAGAATATAGATTGTTTACCATTCTAAGTCAGAGGTAACTAGAGCAACAAAATGAAAATGTTCAGTGTGAGAAAATAAAACATATTTGATCAACTGAATCAAAACATTCACTGTAAATGTCCATATATGTGTTAAAGAAAAACATCCAAAATAACAATCAATCAAGTAAATCTAAGTAATTCTCTCTCTCTCACACACACACACCTGGTCCTCCGGATATTGGGGGCGAGTCCTGATTCTCTTCCTGATGGGCAGACCCAGTTGTTGTCGTCTCAGCAGCAACAGCCGTCGTCTCTCGGGGTCCAGCGGTCGTCGACGCCTCGCCCCTGGCCTTCGTCGTACCAGAGGTCGTGACACAGAGTCGGACAACTCGTAGCTCTCGTCGTCGTCAGGGAACAGCGACTGTCGGGTCACCGTGGGTTGGTGCCTGGAAGGGGACCCTGTGTATTCATCTTCGTCGTCATCTACAGCTGGGTCGTGGACGGCCTGTGCAGGTGGGTCGTTCTTCTGGTCGTTGGGCCGGGGGTGACCTCGTGATTCCTGGGCCCATGCGAACCCAGCCAGAAGCAAGGTCACCTGCAGAGAGAAAGGGACGAACGGGTTAGAACTGAGGTCAACAGCCAGCATGACGCAACAACTATGTCAGGTCATGACGATAAATATCATGATTCTTATTACCTTTGACCCTGAATAAACTTAAGTCATTTCCACTTCCTCACGATATCAATTACTTATACTATGAAACAAAAGTTTGGTTACAGCAGGGCGTGGTGGAGGGCTTAGTCACGGGTCGAGGGGCTAAACTTACATGTGTGTGTATCTATCCTTGTGTGTTTTAATTCTCTAGATGTAAAAAATATATGAAAACAAATCCCAAACCAGAAGTTGTATACTATCAATATAACTAACAGGATGATGACTTTTGTAGGATTCTCTCATTGTTCTTGAAAGTCTATCCATGTCTGTTTTGAAGTCCAGTACTGTGGTTGTACTCACGGCTTTAGCTGGTAAACTGTTCCATAGGTCTTCCACCCTCTGCTTGAAGTACAGTACTCCCTTGTGTTCGTTCTATAGGGCAACTTAACGAGTTTCAAGTTATGACATCTCTAAACATTACTCTGGGTTTACTTCTTGCAACCATTCAGGGTTTTAATTGTCGTTTCTTGTCTGAAAATTTGTTAGTCCTAAGGCTGTGTTGCGCCTTTTCTAATGAGGTCTTTTAAATGTATGGTCTCCACGCTGGTATACAGTTAGAGAATATTTATTTAGAACAAACCTACGAGAGAACCCGAGTTGAGAACAAATAAAGGCTAATGAGAAAAACGAGATTGTCACAAATATAAATTAAAATTGAGAAAATGAGTTCAGTTACAGAATATAGTTTTCACACAATTCAGCTTTAATAACTTCATCTACCTCACTATCACACAACAGTACTGCCACTGAAATAAACAAAAACCCTTCTAGGACCTTCGCTACATAGGGAAAAAATACTCTACCATAACTAGATACATTTATTTATTACTTGCTAGAAGATAAAATTACGGTAGCTAATCTGTTTTCGACGTTTCTATTCAATGTTGTCGTCCCGAGGCTGCAGGCGTTACGTCAATACTCAAACCATTGCTGCTGTTTTATGCTATATTTGTGTATATTATCGTAAGTCAGGAAGCTTAGTGCATTTTTTATATTCTTTAGTTACGAGTGAAATTTTTTATTACGTTTGAAAATCTCGTGGAGTGGGTGAATGGGTTGGTGGGCGGGAGGGTGGGCGGGATGGGGACTACCTCGCTTGGAAACTCCCACGGCGAACACAGTGAGGCAACATCTTATCCACACGTTCTGTTTCCGTTCTTGCTAAACGTAAGAAGGCGTGTCACAGGAGACGTTATTTCCGGTCCTGGGTGTGGTGATGGTAGTAGGGCTGATGGTGGTGGTAGTGGTAGTAGTAGGGGTGATGATGGTGGTAGTAAGGGTGGTGATGGTGGTAGTAAGGGTGGTGGTGGTGATGATGGTTGTAAGGGTGTAGTGGTAGTAGTAGGGGTGGTGATGGTGGTGGTGGTATGATTGGTGGTAGTAGTAGTAGTAGTAGAGTAATAATAATAATAATAATAATAGTAATAGTAGTAGTTGATAGTAATAGTTGATAGGAGGAGTAGTAGTAGTAGTAGTAGTAGTAAAAGTAGCAGTAGTACCAACACATAATGGTTTCCACGTTAGTACAGTTTCCAACGGTCATACCCATACAAACCCCCAATTGAACCCTGGTATAACATGTGCATTGTCTTATCCGAGTTCACAATAACCGGAAGAAAGCTTAACACCACCCAATCACCACAACCACCACTACCACCCCGTCCCTCCCCCTACGTGAAGTCATCGGTTGTACCCACACAGCAACGCCGTCAACACGTTTCCATGACAACATTAAGAGATTGAGGTATTTGTTAACGCAGAAACATGGAAAATATATGTTTTTATCATCCTGTCCTTATTTAGTTCTTTGTTTCTCTTTATTTTTTTATTATTATTCATACGCAAGTGACACAAGAACAAAGAAACAACGTAAGTGGTACACAATAAGTTGTACAAAAGGCAAGTGGACTGAGATCTTTGGAGACACTTTTAAAACAACAAAACAAATCAATAAAGAATAAAAAACAAGAAAAATCATCTGATAAAAGACGAGAAAAAAAATAGGTCGACGCAGTATACAGTCGTGAGCAAATCTTTAAAAGGAACCAACCCTTTCCTGTTGCCCACAAACCCGGTTACTAGGAACTGTCACTAACTCTTCCCGTGCTCTATTTTAGAACTTAATCCGATTTATTTTATTTGAACTTAATAAAATTATCCATCACTTAAACTCTATTTATAAATGATGTTGACAGATGCTATGAATGCAAAAGATATGCAACAAGGAAAGTAGTAGGGGAAGGCTGCCCGTTGCCTGTCCATTTAACATATCACGTTTTGGCGCGCGCCGGGTTGTCCAAGATCACTGAACCGAAGCTGAAATTGCAAAGGTTACGTCTGCATTACCATTTTGAGACACCCCTACAACACCTGTCCCTAATACATGAAGTGCAACACCACACTTTCTCTCTCTTGTGATGTAGTTTGTGAAGGTCGCCACGTTAACTACCAGAGAAATGACGGTACTGAGTGGGGTGGTTATGATGGTTGTTGGAGGTAATAATGATACCAACAGTTAAGTTGTTTGTACTTGTTGGAAGGTCAAATAGTAGATACAGAGGTAATGACAGTTTTTGTGGTAGTGATTCAGCAAAAAAGCTTCTTCAAGACTAAAAATTACTAGGTGTTGGCGAGACTTGACCATTATTTTTCATTCTTTACCGTTGCTGCCTTCAATATTTTTTTTTCTCATCTCGTGTTTAAGATAATAAATGTTGAAAGAAAAAAACAAACATTGTCTATTGCACGATGATTTACAATATATATCGAGCTGAATTTTATCACCCTTTTATCGTCATTCTCTCTTCAAGCATATATATTTATTTATTTATTTATTTATGTAGAAACTATAAAAGAATTTCGATGACCAGAACCCGAATGAGTAAGAAACTTCGCACACGGAACCACGGAACATTCTTATCAAATCTCGGCAAAATCTGAATCAGTAGTTTTTCACAAGTCGAAGATAGAAAAGTTAGACTAAGTGATTTCAGAATGATTCGTATTCTAGGTAGGGGTAGTCATATGTAACCCACCCAAAAATTATGGAACCGGGCTACACCAATCACGTGAGATGATAAAATATTACTGTAACAATTAATTTATAAATGTGTTTAAAAAAAATGTCTGGGTGTACCAAAACATGACCGTAACACACTCGTAACTTTTATGTCAATTAACAACCAGTTTTATTATGGTACAGTTATTACCACTCACTCCCTTCAGGTATTTATCTAAATCATTATCTCTTTAAAACCATTTCTGAGATAATAAATCAACATTTCATCTTACACCGTCTCCCTCATGGACCAATAACAAAGCATGGTTTCTACACTCTCTGCCTAAGGATATAATTGTCTTCCATCACGGAGCAATATTATAGTCGCTGAACATAAGAGCTGGGCAACTAGTGTGTGCAATTTTGATGTGATGGGAAATTAATAGTTGTTTTTATTTTTGTCGTTATGTATAAGATGATGTATTAATATGGAATCATTTCTGGGGTATAAATTTAGTGTGTTAGTGTGTGTGTGTGTGTGTGTGTGTGTGTGTGTGTGTGTGTGTGTGTGTGTGTGTGGCCCCAGAGTCATAGCATGAAACATTAAACAACTATAACAGGGATAAACAATAGGGGTACGAGTATATTAGTTACCACAAAGAACTAACTGTATTATTTTTCATTAAACTCATCCTAAGTTCCACAAATTCCACAAATTACGTAATATATGTCAAACGTTAACTCATATGCAATTCGTTATAACTGACTTGATATTGATGTTGAAAGTTTATTTAGCCAGAAAAATACAGATACAGAGCGGATAATAATAACAATAGTAATGTAATCACTAAATATTACGTTAGGTCTAGTGTTTTGGTTGGCTCTCATTCTACATTCAGTTTATACACCGCAAGCGAGTCCCTCAAGCATGACGGCCCGTTAGAAGTAGTAGGGATAAGGCAAATTACATTAAGCTTACAGTACACAAGAAGCCAGTGTGGTTTACGATGCACTCGACCGCCTACACTTCCCCAAATGTAAAATTAGGTTACTAATTTACAGCTGGGTGAACTAGGGGTGCCCTGGGCGTAAACCAGTTAAACTTGGGACATTAGGTCAATGCTGTATCCATTCAGTCATCTGATTCTTAATGAGTTGACATTCAACTGATTTTTTTCATCGACATTTGGAAGAGTAACTTGCATATATTTAGACATGAATTTATGAAATAGTGATTCTTGGCATCTTTCTTTGTCCGTCTAATCATTGTTAGTATTAGGTAGTAGGTAGTTACCAAACAGGGAGGTACTACGGCCTGGGAAGATATTGGAAGCATAATGTGTTGTCTAATGGTAGACCCTGCTGCCATATGTGACCAAGTCCCAGGTTGATGATCTGACTTTCTGCCTCATTTACACACAATTGCAGGGTCTCAATTGTTTCTCTTACTTTGACAACACAACATACATATATTGTTTCTCACCTTTGATTTTTTTTTCATTTTTGTATTTCTTTATGGTTCTTTATTATTATTATTATTATTATTATTATTATTATTATTATTATTATTATTATTATTATTATTATTCATTATTATTATTATTATTATTATTACATTTTCCCCCCAGGCCCCGATGTGGGTCAGTGACCTGTGCCTGGGTGTGCTAATCCCTGTAAAATAAATAAATAAATAAATAAATAAATAAATAAAATACATTTACTACCGGCGTCAAACGTAACAAGTGGGGGAGGGGGGAGGGGGGGGAGGGGGGAGGAGGAGGGAGGTTAAGGAACACCAACCAACACCTTATCTTCAACAGAAATACGAAACCTAATCATACAAATTCAGCGTGAAGCAAATGTTCTTGTGAATCTGTACAGT